CGCTCAGGCCACCACAGGCACCCCTGACACGAATGATGCCGAGCTGGTCATGGCCACCCTGGCCACCCCCACCCCCACCCCCTGAGGTCAAACACAACACTGATGCGGCCCTCAATGAAAATGAGTTTGATATCCCTGCTATAAACGAGCATCATTTATTTTCCAATTTGGGTTGAGCTGATTTTAAAAAAATATATAAGAATGCATCTAAGGCCAAACATTCACACTTTAATCTGGAACTGAACTTGGGAGTTATTAAACTGATTGCGCTGGAAATATATAGCACTATTGTACAGCAGCCATAACTAATTGATCTATACCCACTGATAAACAGAACTTTGCATCTTTCATCTTTTACTAGTGTCATATTTCTTTGAGATTTAACTTGCACTGAAAACAAGTTTTTAGTTGTATGAAAAATTACAAAGGAAGAACATTTATAGGACAGCTTTTCTCTAAGAAAAAATTGTATGCCGGTCCATGTTTTAATATCTTTAAAGGATGGGTAATGCATCATATTATGTCATGGGATTAAACAAGAAGATACAACTTGAGCTGTTGGAGGTGATGCTTAATATAAATCATATGAATAAATAAATAAACTTGGTATGGTACTTAAGTGGAATTCATACTTTTAGGCTGAACAATGGCAAACTTGTAATAGAAAAGTAAGGATGCCCAGGAACTAATTTTGAGCCCTTCAGAGTATGTCCATAAACTTTTCCTGGGAATGGTGCAAATTGTACCCAGCCTTGTTTTCCTGGGATTTTTTTCCCTTTTTTAGTCTAATTTATAGTCCTTTTAATCAATGACAATCCCCCTTACAACTATGAATTAGGTCTGACCCAATTTAATTACAGGTAATCTTCAATTTATGACTGTAACTTGAGAATGCAATGTTGGTCGTAAGTCATGATGGCCATAAAGCAGATCACCACGCCCAAGTTTGCAACCTTTTAGTGGTAGTCGTAAAGCAAATGCTATGGTTATAAAGCAAACTCATTTTTCACCATTGGGTATTTTTTTCCTCTAAACTTGAAATAAACTTTGGTTTCCAGCAAATTGTCATGTGACCGCAAGACAATGCAAATGACTGTAAATGCAGGCCAGTTCCTGAGTACCCAAAATATGATCATGTGATCATGGGGGTGGGGGGCTGTCGAGACATCATAACTTTGAATCTGGATCGTAAGTCACTTTTTTTTCAGGGTCCTTTGTAATTTTGAAAAGTTGCTAATTGACCAGTGGTAAATTCAGGATTACCTGTCCTCAGGATCAGCCAAATTCAACTAGAAGTTGCCACCTTTTAATAAAATTTCTTATAAGAAGAAGAAAATGTCTGGATGTGATAAGTAGTAATGCTAGATGATAAAAAGTGAGAACACTACCATATTTCTCCCTGTTATACCCATAGAACAGCTTGGTTTATGTAGAGCAGTCTTACATCTATATGTGTATGTAACCTACGAAGGTGAGCACTTCATCTTAGAATGTCTCAACCAGAATGCCTATTTCGATCATATATCAATCTGTCATTGAAAGCACAAACAACTATTTTGAGGAATGCTAGAGAACACCCAGGCTGGGGAAGCTGATGTAGAACTTATATCCTATACAAATTGATCCAAATCATAGAAGGTCATTACAAATCAGAGTGCACAATTCTGGAATATATGGACAAAAGTTATGATCTATTAATCGGCCTCTAAGATAACAAGTAATAATTCAAATCTCCTGAAAATCATAAAGCTTCCAATGTCTATGGAGTCATCCAGGTCATAGTTGTCCCAAAGGTGCTTTTTCAAGAGGCAACTGGACTTTCTTATTTTTCTTTGAAGACTTCACTTCTCCTCCAAAAAACTTCTTCAGAGCTGAAGTGAATGGATAAAAAGCAAAATGTCTTCAAAGAAAAACAAGAAAGTTCTGTTGCCTCTTGAAAAAGCACCTTTGATATACAGAATACTATGCAGTATGGAACAAATAGTGCAACTGGCTGGAGATTAGGAATAGTGGATAAAAATGATTTCATTAAAAAATGAAAAAAATTTAAATGGAAAGTGTTTGTAGGATAATGTATAAAATTAATATTATGTGTGAAGGAAGCTATAGAGCAATAAGGGATAATGGGACAAGAAGGATATATATAATATAAGGAAAGTTTTGGGAAAATGTAAACAATAGAAGATTACCGGTACGAAACTGTTGTAAAAAGGGGATATATGTTTTGTGTCTTGTGTTTGTCATATTGTGTTGTTTTATAAATAAATAATGAAAAAAAAAATGAAAAAAAGAAAAAAAGAAAAAGCACAAAACAGACACATGCCATGAACACATGGCAAGACCTCAAACTCGGAGCCAAACCAAAGCCCGGGATGTGGCATCACAGCCATCTTCTCAGGACAGTACATCAAAAAACTCAGGATATCACAACACTAGAACTCAGGATGTTAACACACAGCCCATTACCCAGGTTGTTAAAACACAAAAGACTAATGGGCACACATCAAGGACCTCACCCACACAGGATGTTACAAAACAGCTGGCTAATCTGCAAACATCAACTCCATCAACCAATCAACATAGGCAGCCAACCCGCTCACAGCAACAAAGCCAACACCCCACACCTCCCCACTAGTATTTATAGAGAGACGGCAGCTCCGATCACGCTTTCCTCACACAAGCATGAAGCCGAAGACACCAGCCTGAAGATGATGAATGGGACCTCATTGAAACGTCGCCAAGATACTCTCAATCTTACATGGGAAAAGACCCGAATACACCAAAACTTGCATACCTCTACCCGTGAAAATCTACGAAAACAAATATATATATAGTGCACGTTCATGTAGTTTTGTGAGTATTTCAAATTATATGGATGTTTTAATAATGATTCAAAGTGAGGCAATTTGTTCATGCTGATGCATGATGCTAAATAGCCTTTCAAAAAGCTTTCATGGCCCTACCATATATAAATTTCATTATCTTTTTCTAGAGTTGTCCAACTTTGTGACCATAATTATAACTTTTCACTTTTAGCTATGCACTTTCTTGAATTTCCCACCATTCAGCTTGTTCTGACTCTTGTATTTTAGCATATGAGAAAATATACTTCGTCTTCTTTTCCAGTGCCACATCTATTATGCCTTGGAGTTGAACAACATGTATATTATTATTATGGTTGGTTGCATGATCACCCAGATGTTTAGAATAGATTTGACATTTTTGTCCACCTATGAAGTGCTTCCCAAGTACCTGGAATAGGCAGCCATTGTGATTTGACAGTGTTAAAGTTATTGTCACGGGCTGTAAGTGTTCCAAGTAAAACTGTCTTTTGAAATTGACTGACGGTGATTTTGACATTGCCAATGATGTTCAAGGGGTGTTCCATATGTTTAGATATTGCACCCAAGCTTCCTATTACTATTGGTACTATTTTTGCTTTCTTTTGCCACATTTGTTCCATTTCTATTTGCAGGTTTTTGTATTGTGGATTTTCTCCTAGTATTCTAACCTGATGTCTTAACCACTACATCAAACTGGCTCTTTAGGATATTATAGCACCTTTGAATACTTGAATACTAGATGTCCCAAAGAAGATAATTAAGAATACTCTATCATTGCAGAGAGTGAAATATAGAACATATTTAATGCCCTCCACCTTTTTGGGGGAGCCTAGTCCATGACAGTTTTACCAAGCTAATTTTTCTCATATTGGCTATAATCTTAAAAGAATTCCATGCACAAAGCTCTGATCCTTTGAAGACAGGACAGGAGATGAAGATTTAAAGTGAAATCCTGCAGAAAGCAATCAAAGAAACCTTGCCAGCCTCTTCAGTTCTAGCAATTAATTGTGATGGCTGAATCAAAACCCTCAATAATCCATTTTGGATCTCTCACTGTGAATCCAATAGTGGTCTCACCTGTAATTATCTTAATAAACCACCACCTTCCAAAGTATATAGCTTGTAAACTGTACTGCATTAACACCGAAACGTCACTTGAAAATCCACCATTATAAAATATCAAATGCAAAAAGAAGCACCTAACTTTAGTAATTTAAATAGGGATGGTCAGGAGACAGATCTGTCTTTATCACTTGATGGAACTCTGAGGAATTAGAACAACAAGCTCCCAGATCTTGATCATAGCAATAATTTATTCTTGTCTTCTTGCCCAAACTTATACTGCTAAAATTAAGAAAACAATAATAACCAGAAATAGAACTCTGTAGAGGATCTTTAGCCAAGTCTTCAATGAAACCCAGCCACTCTCAGTGAACTATGAAGGTGAACTGCTCCAGTCAGTAGACTCCACAGCGTTTTGACGTGGCTTAATCATGGCTAGTAACCACAACATATATCTATTGTATTTTTAAGAACAGTGGTTATAAGGCAGCTGAGCCATCAGGAAAGTTAGAATTTAATATTGAGTCATATCTCACACCCTTCATAGAGAGACAACTCTTAGATTTCTTCTTGTATGAGTTCTGCAAGAATCTGTTGAAGAATTATTGTTGTTTATATTTTCGGCATTCCTGTTCTCATTTAGATAAATAACCCAAGTTACATTGGATGTTTTCAATCACTAACTGAGTCCCAACAATTGTGATATAATATACTCTGGCAACAGTTTTTTTTCCTGTTATGTTCCCCTGACATTACATTCATCACATCTCCAGCCCCAGAGAGACTTAAGTCATCTTTAGCTGTACCAGTCTTAAAATAGTATTTTTCTGCTCTATTCCAATTCTATGCAAGAGAAATGCCAAACTGGGTACCAGATTTTCATTCCCTTAGAAGAAAATTGAGAGAATGAACATGGAGGATCAGAGGCAATAAATGCATAATAAAGACCAGGATTTAGGGCAGCAAATTCTATGCCAGTAACGATTTTGGATCACTTAGACTTATATACTACTTCATAGTGCTTTAAAGCCATCTCTAACCATTTTACAGAGTCAGTATATTTCCCTCAACAATCTGGCTCCTCATTTTACTAACCTTGGAAGGATGGAAGGCTGAGTCAAACTTTGAGCCGGTGAGAATCGAACTGCTGTCAGCCGGCAGAATTAGCCTGTGTTCTATTACTGCATTCTAACCATTGCACCATTGGAAGTCTGATGGGAAAGAAATTTATTTGGCTTGCCTTTTAATGCAAATTTATTTAACACACATTTCCTATGTATGTGAACTGGGTCACATTATCATTTGAATTTTAAACTTTTTTTTTTGAGTGTTGTAATGCAGCTTTTCAGCAAAACAGTACTGAGTTTTGAGGAAAGCTTGCAAACGAACAGGTACAAATAATGTGCATTTTATTAGGAAAATCTCTGCAAATTATTTACCATTAGATAACACCATGCACCAGAATTGTTCTTCTTTGAAGAAATGTATGCAATTTTTCATGCAGATCATAAATAAAGCAAGTAAAGACTCACAACACTGAAAACAAGGAGAAATGGAACAAAAGAGATATACATTCTCATCTATTCTCCGATACATCCATTCCATTGAATTCACTCAGATGTGTCTTAGAAGGATGGTTCAGTAGAAACATTAACATTTACCTCTGACTCTCAAAGTTTACGCTTATGTAGAAAAGCTGTGCTACTTTTTTCAGTTTTTTTCTATGAAAGACTTTGCTCTGATTTGTTCTTCCCCATCAGTGGAGTCCTACTCATTGTATGCAAGCTACTGTTTACATTCTAAAACACTGGTCAAAAGAAGAAACTCCTCCCTACCTATAATTATGGAATTTTTTTAAAAAAGGAAACCTTTATTAAAGCCATTAATGAAGCCACTATAAATTATTTCTCGTTTGTCAAAGACCCCGGGATGTCAAGAGATAACAGAAATGACAGATGAACGGTGAAAACTTCAGCAAGTAAACTCTATTGCAATGAATCAATGTCATTTGCAAAAAGCTATTTGGAAATTATACTTCACTGGAAGTTCCAGATCTGCCCTAGTTAATTCTTGCTTTTTAAAATTTAAAAGGGTAGGCTTCAATTCCTGCACTGGAAACTAAAACCAGAATTTTCTCTTTAACTGTAGTAACAGTACCTAGCTAGGCATGTGTAAGGTCTCCTTAACTTCAGGTACTGCTACTTTAAAGGAAGCATAACAGATAGAAAATGCAAAAACAATAATATAAGTACACTTTAAGTAAGAATAATTACACCCCCCTCCTCAATTGCAACAAACATTGATTCATTGTTTATTTGAGGGAAAGCTGTAGCAATACCTATACAATGTGTCTCAAACTGACTACTTGACCCTGAGGCAGACTGCATTAGAAGATAGTCCTTGATTTATGACTGTTCACTAAGTTCAGTTATGATGGACTTTCCCAGGTCTACTTACAATCTAGATTCAAAATTCCAGTGGCTGCTCCCGCTCCCGCAGTCATATGATCACATTTTGGTCACTTGAAACTGATCTGCACTTACACCCATTTGCAGTGCCCCATGGTCACGTGATCTCAATTTATGTCATTTTTTTTTTAAAAAAATCAGAAACTGATGTTTACTTCCTGTTTCCAGCAAAAAAAATTCCCATTGCAGAAAATGGTTTTGCTTAATAACCAACACAAAAAAAGTCATAAACTTGGGTGCAGACACATAGTGACCCACTTAATGATGGGTAAAATTTATGACTGTTAATTCAAGGCTCAATTATGGTCATAGGCTGAGGAATCCCTGTACGCAATTCTGGAGGTAACCTAGATTTAATCCACTCATTGCTTTTTTATACCAAAGTGCATACCTTGGATTGGGTTTAGAAAGCAACCAGTGTTTCGGAGAAAGACTGAGAGGTGAGGTGAGATGCCACTCACCCCCCCTACGGCTACAGCTGTACCTTCCAGGTCAGTGGTGGGTTTCAATTTTTTTTACTACTGGTTCTGTGGGCATGGCTTGGTGGGCGTGGCATGGCTTGGTGGGCATGGCAGGGGAAGGATACTGTAAAATCTCCATTCCCACCCCAATCCAGGGGATAGTTACTGCAAAATCCCTATTTCCTCCCCACTCCAGAGGAAGGATACTGTAAAATCTCCATTCCCTCCTCAGTCCAGGGGAAGGATACTGTAAAATCTCCATTCCCTCCCCATTCCAGGGGGAAGGCTAGTGTAAAATCTCCATTTCCTCCCCATTCCAGGGGAAGGATACTGTAAAATCTCCATTCCCTCCCCATTCCAGGGGGAAGGATACTGTAAAATCTCAATTTCCTCCCGATCAGCTGGGACTTGGGAGGCAGAGAATAGATGGGGGCGGGGCCAGTCAGAATTTTCACTACCAGTTCTCCAGAACTGGTCAGAACCTGCTCCAGGTTGTCTTCAAGGATTGCTACACAAAGCCTCCCTGCAATCAATTTCTTCTTGAGCTGTCCAATCCCTTTATCACACCAATGCCAGATTTCTCTCTTTCTGGATTTATCAGAGGAAACGTCTCTAGAAATTCTCTTTCTAGAGATGTTCATGTGAAAAGTTTTTTTTCTGGAATTTGCACATGGGGCATATCACCCATCGTTCAACGTCTCGCCCCCTGAACCAACTACTCTGCCTTATCCTAATTCAGCTTCAGTATGCTTCTCCTCACGAAGAAGTTGACAATACAGATAGTCCTTGACTTACAACCATTCATTTAATGACAGTTCAAAGTTACGACGACTCTGGAAAAAAGTGCCTGATCACCCTTTTTCACACTTATGACCGTTGCAGCCTCCCATGGTCATGTGATTTACATTTGGTTGCTTGACAACTGGTTCATAACTGGTTTGGTTGCAGGATCCTGGGGTCATGTGATCATCTTTTGTGACCTTCTGATAAGAAAAATCAATGGGGAATCCAGATTCACCTAACAACCGCGGTTACTAATTTAACAACTGCAGTGATTCACTTAACAACTGTGGCAAGAAAGGTCATAAAATGGGGCAAAATTCGCTTAACAAATTTCTCACCTAGCAACATAAATTCTGGGCTCAATTTTGGTCATATGTCAAGGGCTACTTGCATTTGGCAACATCCCCACTAACTGGGATTTTTGTATAGAATAGAATAGAATAGAATAGTTGGAAGGGACCTTGGAGGTCTTCTAGTCCAACCCCCTGCTTAGGCAGGAAACCCTACACCACTTCAGACAAATGGTTATCCAACATCTTCTTAAAAACTTCCAGTGATGGAGCATTCACAACTTCTGGAGGCAAGTTGTTCCACTGATTAATTGTTCTAACTGTCAGGAAATTTCTCCTTAGTTCTAAGTTGCTTCTCTCCTTGATTAGTTTCCACCCATTGCTTCTTGTCCTGCCCTCAGGTGCTTTGGAGAATAGCTTGATTCCCTCTTCTTTGTGGCAGCTCCTGAGATATTGGAACACTGCGATCATGTCTCCCCTAGTCCTTCTTTTCATCAAACTAGACATACCCAATTCCTGCAACCGTTCTTCATATGTTTTAGCCTCCAGTCCCCTAATCATCTTTGTTGCTCTTCTCTGCACTCTTTCTAGAGTCTCCACATCTTTTTTACATCGTGGTGACCAAAACTGAATGCAGTATTCCAAATGTGGCCTTACATCAACCATATCATCAATCAACCATCACTGGTTCGAAATAACAGTCATGAGGACAAGCTTTAAAACTCTTCGATGATGTTTGAGAGATGCTAAAGGAGAATGCAAGTTGCTCCTGGGACCCTGCCTTCAGGTTCAAAGAGGGGCAAACAGACAATTCTGTGAAAAGCTAATTATCTGCCTTGACTTTAGTAACCTGTTAGGAGCCTCTGGGAGCCTTATCAGAACTGCTGCAACTTGAAGTCTTTGGAGAAGAATGGAGTATACATTTCATTAAATAAAATAGCTAGATAACTAAATGTGAGGATATAAGGTTTATGTTTTTACTCTCCAGCATGAACAGAGTTCGCTTATCATTAGACAGCCAGAACCCAGAGAGAGAGAGAAAGAGAGGGGGGGAAAAAAACCTTACCTCATTCATTCCAGCATATTTAGAACTGTAATCTTAATGTCAGCTTGACTGGCACATTAGAATCATCACATTTCCTCCGTTGCTAAACTATTTAGCAAACTCTACTTATCAGTCTCACTCTTGGGAACTGCAATCCGAAAGGAGGGAGCTATTCAAGTTTCTTCTTCCTTGCAGAGGTGAAAAGGAGGATAGAAGAAGATAAGTGGATGAAATGGGGAGTGGGGGGAAAAAAAAGAGAAATGCTAACGAGCCTTTCTAATAGACCAGCATGCACCGAGATGTTCTTATTCTCCAATATCTATGAAAAAAATGAAGGTTTGTGTTTCTGAACAGTGACATTAAATAAAGAAGCAAGCATGGCTTTTCATGTTTAGCAGCTGGCTTCTTCTCAAGACCTCTAAAGGAAGAATACACAACAGTTTTATGCTGAGAACTACGTCTCTCTTTCGCTGCAACAATAAAAAACAAATAACAACAACAACAACAACAACAACAGTGTATGTAACAGTGATACCCATTGTCACCGGAGCACTTGGTACCATGTCCAAGAATTTTATAACATACATCAGCAAATTGCAGCTTCCTGCAATAACATCAGTGGAACTGCAAAAAACTGCGCTACTCGGAACATCGTACATCTTAAGAAGGTACTTGGTTGATACTCAGGACGCTGGCAGCAACCCGTATTAACCATTACCACCAGTCAATGATATTTGTGATGCATTTTTGAATGTTCAGTTGACTGAGTTTCATATTTAATGAATAAACAATAATAATAATAATAATAATAATAATAATAATAATAATAATAATAACAACAACAACTTTATTGTCATTGTACATGTATACACAGTATAACCATGTAACAAAATTCACTTAACACCCAAAGATCAGGTCCAACACACATAACAATCCCCAAACACACTCCCACCCACCACAATTCCCCAAGCCTGAACCACCCAAACATCCACACAACAGACAAAGTAATGCTGTCCAACAGCTCACTGATGGTGGCCCTTTAGTTCATTGTTAAGTGCAATTATAGCTCTGGGATTAAAAACTATTCAGAAGTCGTGTGGTCCGAGTTTTAATTGTTTTGTATCTTCTGCCAGAAGGCAAAAGCCCAAAAAAGATTGTAAGCAGAATGGGAAGAGTCTCTGAGAATGTTATGCAACTTCCTCAAACAACAAGATTCGAAGATGTCATCCATGGCTGGTAGCTGGAGCCCAATGATATTCTGGGCAGTTTTAATGATTCTCTGTAGAGCTTTTTTGTCCGCTACAGAGCTGCTCCCATACCATGCAAGAATTTGGAAGTCACCTGCCAAAAGTGCTGGAGGCCAGAGCCCTGGATCAGGCAATTCTCCTCCTTTTGTCACATGTCTCCAATCTATTACTTTCTTTTTTTCTCTTCTATTTTTTCTCTCTCCCTTCTTCTCTTTCCCCATATAACAAAGAAAAGCCGTTCATATTGTTAACTGCTTTTTTTGCATGCCGTTTACATTCCTTCTGTAAAATTTAAGGCACAGGACCAAGAGATAAATAAATTTTTAAAAAGGCAGGCTCAAGTAATTTCAAGAGAAAAAGCTACTTTGGTGGGCAAGGGATGATAGTTCTAATTGCAGCATTAGGGAACATACTAGAAACATGCATGAATATGTTAGTTTCAGATTCAAGATGGGAAACACGGAACAAATGAGAGCGGTAGGATTAAATTAAAAAAAGTAATTTCCAAATATATCATTTATAAAGGTGAATCCTATAGGCCACCTTATTAAAAAAGATGGGATCATTTTTACTTCTGTGCACAAAGGAAGTAGGTTTGGGACTCAGTGAAGCTGCAATGGTATGTGGGAATGAGGACAGAAGGAGGAAGAAGAGGAGGGGTGGGAAGCATTTCAGAATGCACCCTTCCTGACATTAAAAGGAGAGGAGGGGAGATATGCATTTGCAGATTTACAAACCATGTATCAAGCCCTAGGGAAGTCAGAAAATCAGGCAGTTCAAATGAAAGATTTATAAATATTTATTGCAAGCTTATGTTCCCTACAAGAATCTAAACTACTAATGGTTCAATCAAATTGGTGGTAGAAAAGAGTCAAAAGAATTCAAGGAGGGCTGGACTTAGATCTGTTGTGGATACGAAGAGACTCTTAACTGATGATGTATTTGACCCCTCCCTCGGGCTCTGGACACCATTCACATTGATTTAAAAAAGGCATAGAAATGGAAATGGGAAAGAGGAGACATGAAATGGGAAAGAATGAAACTCAGTCAAGCAACTCAAATTTGCTGAATAGGTTACTATTACATTAATCAACTGATAGCTCAAACAATCTTTTTCCAGAGATGAATATAGCCTCATAGCTCCTGAAACCAAGTATGGGTCGCCTTCTAGTTTCTTCACGAGGTCTCACCCAGCCTTGATTTCTGGAGCCAATGGAAGCTGACAAACAAAAATCCATACTTTTCTGTATAATCGTGTTATGGATACATACCAAGGATTTTTATTTCAAGCTTGAAAATAATGACTTGGCCATGGTGTGGCATGAGAGTGATATGATTTAATTTGGCCACAGATATTTTTCAAAGCAAAGAAGTGACAAGTAAAGTTAAATAGGGTCTTGATAAGAAAAAGAAGTATGAGAAAAAACTGTCATGGACACAGTAGCAGCTAATATCTTTGTGGTCATTTCCTTCCTTTCCAACTGCAATCAAAGATTAGGTTAGTAGTAATAGTATTCAACAACGTGCATTTAATGATAGGTTTTATGTGTATTCTTAACAAGAAAATCATGTGGTCAATTCTTGCTACAGTATTTGCTTTTGACTGGCATAAACACAATATGAAAAATGATCAACAAGAATACCATTCATAATTCTTGAAGGGATGGTGATTAGGCTTCCTGTTCAAAAACAAATTCACAAGGTTAACTTTTTCAAACACAGTTCTATACTCTGAGACGCTTTTGTTGTGTCAATCACTGTAAATTGCGTTTAGGCAGGAAGACAAACTAGAAGTAAGATTTGGCTTGTGTATTTTATTGATGATACATTCCAGGAGTGTTTAAGTTGTAGTTTGTGGGACCTCTCAAAAGTTTTTCATTATAGCACCAAAAATCTACTGTATCTCCTTTGTGGAAATGGGACAGCGTTACTACAAAGAATAAAAAAAAATGCCATAAAACTTTGTAAAGTTTTCCATAATTCTTTGTCAAGGTCAGGGATACAAAAACACAGGATAGGAAAATGAGTCCAAATATCCCAAAGAAATTCAGGAATTGTGATTCTTCAAGTGTAGAAGCCGATGGAAACTAATCATAAAAGAAAATCCAAAACACCTCCAAGCGATATTGTGTAGAACCGCATTCGGACAAAATTTGATGATCAGTTTTAATATGACACTAAAATTACATATTCATTACAAATTCTCCAAAATCTGCATCATAATATTTCTCAAAAGAATACTTAGCTCAGGGGTGTCAAACTTGATTTTATTGAGGGCTGCATCAGGGTTCTCTTTGACCTGGGGGGGTGCGTGGCAAGAGTAGGCATGGCCAGCTTGACATCACTCATGTTGGGGGAGCCTGTGGTAACTGGAACATTCTGCCATTAAAAACGCGCTTGCGAGCTCCGTTTTTTGCTGCAACGGCCTCCTGTGACCCTCTGCCAACAAAAATGGAGCTCGGGAGGGCTGCACATAGCCCTTGTGAGCTCTGGTTTTGGCTCCTGCAACCCTCTGCCAGGGAAAAATGGATCTTGGGAGGGCTGCACGTGGCCCTCCCAAGCCCTGTTTTTGCTGGCAGAGGCACCGCAGGCTAGTTTTTTGCTGTTTCCAGGGCAGCCCCATGGGCCAGATCTAAGCACCCTGTGGGCCAGAGCCAACCCGTGGACCTTAAGTTTGACACCCCGGACTTAGCCTATCTAGTCTGCAATGACTTATTTCAGCACATGGGTCAGAACCATGAGGTGGAAGAGCTACCTCAGAGGGACATTTTCAGGAAACGCATTCCCTGGATCCATATTTGCACTGGGCAAAGCAAGGAGCATTGTTTGTGGAGTGGTGGGTAGGTTACTCGCTGATTATAAGCCTGTTACACCATCCATTCCTGACAGAGCTATAACAGAACAGAAAGCACAGGAATAAGTAAGATAAATAAATTTCCTGCACAATTTGCCGCTGACATCATTTTGTGTTGTCTCTTCTGCAAATTACAGAGGCTGATAAACATTCCTTGCTTATTTGGCAATAGATTTTCTTCCTTCAAGGAAGCGGATTTTCTATTACCATGTAAACTGCAGGATTGCCAATCAGACTAGCCTCATTAATCTTGTCCCAAGGTAGAAGAGTTAGCACTTCTGTATGATGTTGGTGAACTTATGTCTTATTCCTTCACCCCCAGCCCCATCATCCGTGGCTTACAGTAGACTTCATCTTTTCAGTAGATTCGCTTGATAATTCCATTAACTAGAAAAGGATCCTTAAATGCCCTGAGCTGAATTTCTAATAATTTCTAAGAGGTCCCAATACTAATATTGTTGAATGATGTGGAAAAATGTAGAAAAATAATTTCTCTGCTTTTTGATGACAGAGGTATAAAACGTTGGGTCTTGAAGCATCTTTTTTTCCCCTCATACACCTTTTAAACTAAAATGTCAAAAATCAGTGATGCAGTTTTTTAACATTTTTAAACAAGAAATATGCAAAATGCTTCAGAATGTGGGTTTTTTGTTTTTTTGTTTTTTGGCAATGATGACAATCACTACCATAACTGTCTCCATTTTCCAAGGAAAGACATCTTAACCCTGTCCTTTTGTGTAACAGATAGTGGTGGAATGTTGCCGGTTAAACAACCAGTTCTGTGAGCATGCACTTCACACTTTGCGCACCTAAGGCGCTTGCGCGCAGTGCTGAAAATAGAGCATTTAGAAGCTCAGCTGCTTACCTTCCAAGTCAGCAATTGTAGAACGGCGGGGAGGGGGGGGAATCAGCTGTGCTGCATGATTGAGATGAGCTACAAAGCAGGAAATAAAGGACAGGATAGAGCGGGGGCAGATGGCCAGGGCCAACTGATTGTCAGCACTACCGGCTTATCCAATCCAGTCCGAACCAGCTGAATTCCATCTCTGGTAACAGGGCCCTTTTTATGTGATAACAGTGATAACTT